ATGAGAAGGAGTGAAGTAAGAGTATACTGAACAAAGGTAAGAAAAGAAATTTGAAAACACGATTGCTGGTAACTCAGACGAGTAAAAAAAAGAGAAAGTGACGAATAAAACATTATGTTCTACGGTATTGAGGAGCTTGTTAGAAAAAAATTTTCGAAAATGAGGCTATAAAAGGTGAATAAACTAACAACTTGAAAGGAAACTGATCTACTATCAATAGAAAAAGTGAAATATCTCACCTGACAGTAGAGATCAGTGACTGGTGCCAAGGCCTCTTCTCGACCAGTATTTACAGTAACTAAAAAAAAAACAAACAAGTGCATATAATGAAAAGCAGACACGCGGAAATCGTAAAACACCTACTTATATCTTTCTGATGCCTCTTTTTCATTTCTTTCTTTTCCCGCTTCGAAAACCGCTTCGTACCACGCTTTATGTTCTCTTCGTCTGGTAGCTGTATTGTCTGAATGTATCATAACAAAGGGTAAAGAGACAGCAACAAAGACATGAGGCAGCAAACTTACAGCTAGCGGGGCTAATCCTTGACGATTTTTCCGCAATAAAAATCTTCCTTCACGATCGTCACGATGCCAGGTGAGCTGCACTAGCAATGGTTTCTCTTCATCGTCCAATTTTCGCTCGCCACCACTTTCGTGAACCTATCATTCAAACCTTCGCTGTAAGCTTGGAACATTACACAAATGCACAATTCCAATAACGACATATAATTTCCCTACAGAAGCGGACCACCCAGTAGCCATAGTTCGCTAATTAGCTTCAATGATGAAAACAGGTTGTGAGAACAGCTGATCGAGGACTATCTTTATACAACTTCGCAACCCCAAATTCTTCTGATCCGCCCAGAACTATCTTGGCTACGAAACTGGGACGATCATCACGCGAGGATGAAAGGGACCAAAAGAACACGGTCGTTTTCATCTTACAAAACCAGTAGCCGTCTTGAAGCAATCCATAAAGTAACGGTCGCTTTATAACAAGCGAGGTACCGGATTCTTCCTTTGTTCGGTTCAATACCAAACCTAAGCTTCTCGTCAGGAGAATAATGAAAGGCTTGTAGGCATAAACAACATCATAACTGAATATAACCTGCAAATAGTAAAGTGGGAAAGAACATGAACATAAAAATCCTACCTCCCAAAGACTGTAAGTATCGTCGGAAAGCATTTTTAGGTCCGGCAGGAACTTGTCTGTTAGCGCTTCTACGACGGCACGTGTAGTAGCAGTGCTAGACACACGAACACACTTTGTTAGTACTCGTTCTCCGCCATCCTGAAAAGCACATTTGTTCGTAAAAATTCTAATTTAGCTTTGTACGAAGGTCATGTTTCTTTAGTGACAGCCTTAATTCTAATAGGCCATTTAACCGAAATTGAACGATAACAGGTGTGAACCTCATATGAATCTCATTTTCTCGACATTATGAAAGACATATCACAGTCAAAGACTACGAAAATACTGTGGTGTCATGATTTCTGCGACTAATCATAAAATTTTACGATTCTTGTTCAACAATCTAAAAGAAAAGGGAGGAAAGTTATCAGGCACCACGTTGACACTTATCTTCATTAAGATTCTGCGTGAAAAAAAGAGAATTTGGTTGATTACAATACAAACTACAAGAAAAAATGCCAAGGTCCAGCGATAACAGAAGCTAGGAGTAAGGTCAATTCTACGGCATAATACAAGCCTGTAAAAAGCAGCTTTAGAGCTCAGTTTTGAGTAAGCAGCTACATAGGCTTCGAAATGCTTCATATATCACACACCCTGAAAAAAAACAAGAGCAACCGCTACGGGCGTACCGTCCCACACTGGATAAGTTCTACAGCTACATGGAACTTCAAACCAGACGGCCAAAAGGGGATTTGCTTGACCGCGATTCTCATGTTGGAGAACGCATCATCCTTGTCCGCTAACTTAATGCATCCGAATAGGGCCGATAAATCGCCGTGAAAAAGATTACGCACAATGATCGCAATCTTTTTAATCTTTATCGGCCATACTCTGAGAACCAGCTCGTTTCGCTCAACATTTCCTTGCTAACAGAATCCCTTTTTCCACCGATTAGGTTAGATGTACCATTCAGAGATAGTCCTCAAACTAGCACAAGCGCGCGACATTAAATATAGGAGAATGGCGACGTGTCAAGGTCACGACCACCGCGGAGATTTCCGTCAAAAACGGCTATAAGAACGTCAGATAACATAGCGGATTTGAAGTGATACAACGCATACAATTTACAAATACGACTTATATTAATAAACCGAATAGCAAAGTAGAGGTATAAATCAAACCTGGAAGTAGAAGCGCATGACGCCCTCGATCTCGAGATCCTGAAAAATATCGATACAATGAAGATCTCGATCGGTAACTCCAGTCTGCAGGTCTCTATTTGGGGACTGATGAAAGTGAAATGTCGAATTTGTCCAACTAATAATCTCTTAATCTTTCGTCTCTAGTCTTAACCTGCGTACCCAAGACTACTGGTATGTCGTAAATCAGAATTAACCACAAGAGATAACCCACCAACTACACTGACAACAAAATTCTCGGAGTAGAGTAGTAATTTAAAAAAAAAACAATAACTGTGAAGAAAAATTCTTAAAATGAAAACAGCCTACCTCGGTTGGATAGCTCAGATGAAATAGATCTAGACGATTTTCATTCCATTGTTCGACAAGGGATGCGAGCTGTTCCCGCTCACTCAATGGTACTACGGTCATTTCCGATTGAATTATTGAATTAAATGAATTCTGCTATGTTAAACCAACGAATATCGACACATTAGTGATCTGAAAACATTTCATAAAGCTCCAAACCAAAGACATCAAAAGGGAATGGAAGGAGATCACATGTACGATTCATAAAAACCCTTTCACAATAATCAAAGACAAGAGTCAGAGCACTGAAGCGGAACAGCGACACACTTCATGCGATTTGGAACGCCGCCTAGCTGAGATGGCGCCAGCCCTGCTACACTGGCACAAATCGCGTGCGATCACTTTTGCGATCAGATCTGGGTAGGTAATTGGGGACTCCCACTCCCATAAATATCGCAGTAGGGTGCTATACATCAAATCATATAATATTAATATAAATTTTATATATGGCATCAAAATATCAGTGTATATAAATACGTTAATATTAATGAAATTATAGATTAGGACATGTCTTCAAAAACTGAATATATTAACCTAATGGGTAAAGTTTTATGAATAACATATCATGAATAATATCATTTTGAAGTCATGCAAAGGTGAAGGCGCACAAGGTAAAGTGGCAATGTAACACAGTATAACACACCCACGGTCCTGGGATCGAACCCAAAATCGATACTCGCCTAGGACAACCAAACCCTCCACTCCTCTGGGATCGTAATTTGATACCAGACGTTTGGGAGATTAAAAGCGCTGACAGTACATCGGTTGGCCACCGCAAAACATTTTGAAGGCCGCATACGCATTCAAACCACCATTACGATGTGAATGGAAGTCAAAGTGCGTGGCGCATCCTCAAAAATTGGTGTGACTAAGGCTAGAGTTTTTGTCCTTTTTATCCTTTATTCAGAGGAGTACTGTAACGGTTTGATACCATAGCATGTTAACACATTAACTATGACAAAAGTCGTGATAAAAGTTCCCAAGTGCATGAACGACCGAATTTAGTAACTTTTTAGTTCCCCAGAAAAGATTAGGAACAAACTGATGGGAAGATTATAAAACAGGAAAAGGGAAGTAATTGAGAGAACAGTTTAACCTTCGCTAGGCCTCTCTTGGGTGCGGCATGCATGTCGTTCAGAAAGATGCAATTATAAGGAAACGTAGGGAACAGACTAGGACTGGGGGTCATCCAATGCTCATGGTAGCGTTCTTGCCCTTTCCGATGGATTTAGTATCGGATGGAAGCTTTTGAGCTTATGTTTTGGTGATCCGGTAAAATTCCATCTTCGGTTCATGAACAGAATCAAACGAAGGGTCGACGGAAATGTTGCTATCCATGTGAGGCTTCGTGGAACTCTTCCAAAGCCTTCACATAAAAAATGGGAGGGGAAGAGGTTTTTAACGGGTCAAACCCGGATTTCTTTGAAATCGGCCAAATCTTCGCTCTGTGCTTGTCCTTGCCCTTTCAGTCAATACGATCCACCCCTCTCTAAGTGCCAAGGACGAGCCACTCACCACTGTTGTTAATTCTGTGATACATGTTTAATGGGTCTCACCACTGACTGAAAGCATCGGTCTCAACTATCCCAATTCAGTCAAAATGAAAGGAAATTTGGATGAGTTCCAGCTAACAATGCCGTCAAAGGCCGATCTTCACGCAGGGATCAAGTCTGTTTGCCCATTCCACTGATCTAAACCTCCCACCTCTCAGCTCCACTGACCTTTCCATCTTTAAGCTCATGAGATATCCTGAGATCAAACATGCTTATGTGCACCAGTCGTCCAGATAATCTTAAAGGACTGGATTATGAAAAGGTAATGTTTCCGCAACCTTCCGCGTCCTGTGGCGCTTGCCTGACTCCCTTAGTACCATTTTTGATGTCGCCAACTAGTACTGTAGTTGGTGTTACTGATCGAGAAGCGCCACTGAAATCTCTAGCCAGAATTCAGTGTACCACCTGAAGTTAACACTGCCACCTCAAATTTTGTCAATTTTTTTCGCAAATATCACGCGCTCTCTTCAAACTATTTATTTATTTATTTATTCGAATACGTTCAGGATAAGCCATACATATAGCACACGAGCCAAAACTCCAAGGCGTTGGTTCTACTTCAACGACAAAGAAAAGCAGAAAAGACTAGAAAGAAGCTAGCAAAAAAAGCTAAAAGAAAAAGCCTACAGCTAAAAGGAAAACTGGTTTCAAGAAGAAAGGGGGAAAGATGTGGAAAAAAAAGAAAAAAACAAGAAGGCCGCATGAATTTCTGTAAGTGTAAGGGTAAAAACAAGACCATGCACTTCTTCAAACGCGATAAAATCTTCAAAAAGTTAGTCGTCGTTACGAGCGAAACAAATCGTGTCTATCGTCAATCTGAAGACCTTCCCATGTGTGTAGGGAATTTTGCCCAGAAGGTCAGAAATACCCGAATCCGCTTATTTATTTCGACTTGCCACAAAACATCTTGGTCCCTCTTGGACAGTGGCTATGATGAATCGAGAAAAATCGATAAATTAATGAATTATAGTGAATTTGTGAAAGACGGTTGGGAACTAGTTAAACTAGTTGGTAAATTTGTTTGCACTCAGTTGACTCGACATTAATTGACTGGAGCTCAAGATCAGAGCGATAACTGTGGGAATGCCAGAAATTGATTTATCGATCGATCCGGTAAATGTGCTAGGAATAAAGAGCGCAAACTGATTGCTAAAAAAGTAATTGATTACTATAAAAATCTCGGAAAATCTTGTCCGACAGTTGTTTCAGCCAAATACATGGTTCCAAAAAACCTTATTGATGCACCTTTGTAACGGATTGATTTATTGATTCCTTCAGGAACACAGGTGAGTTGGTGTGTGAGGGAAAAAGAGATTTTAAATAAATACTTGGCCAATTTTGTTTGTAAACAAAAGACCCAACAAAAATAAATACTGATTTACATAGATAAAATGGAACCATGGTTTTTTTTCATTTTTTTTTTCGTGGAAGCTCCCATACCAATCCGTCTTTTGTTTAAACTATAGCGAATAATTTTAAATAGGGAAGCCCCGCATTCGACTTCCATTCAGAATCGTAGTGGCGTAATGAGTGCGTATGTGGCCTATAAAATGACTTGCGGTGGCCAGGTGATGTACAAGTCAGTGCTTTTATCCTCCCAGACGATTCTGGTACCAATTCACCGACCCCGGAGGGATGGAAGGCTTGTTTGGCCCAAGCGGGCATCGATCCAGGATTCGCACCCGTGACCGTGCGTGTGAAATAGTGCGCCACTTGCTTCTCCTACACCACTGACGAAGAGAGGATGACGGGGACAATCCGGCAAATCGCTGTAAGACTTCGACATGGCCTTTTCGCTAATGTTTCCCGTTTCATTGAGATTTTTTCAGTAATTTCTGCCCTTGACAAAGGATAGTTAGAGACAAACCGCTCATGAGGAGCACCGATTTTCGAGTTATCTATCATTTTGTGTTTTCAGCTGTCCCAGCGGTGGCCGGCCGATGTACAAGTCAATGCTCTTATCCTCCCAGACGAGTCTGATGTCAATTAAGACCGGGGGATGGAAGGCTTGGTTGGCCTAGGCGGATGTTGATCCGGGGTTCGGACCCTTGACTATGCGCGTGTGATAGTTCCCTACACCATCACCACCTGTTATACCACATTATCTTTCCCATTTATAAAGCAGAAACTTGGTATGTCAGTTTGTCGGTTTGTGTGTCTATCCGTCCGAGAAACTTATGATTATGATAAAGGTAGTGATATGAAAAACCTAACTCTATACTACATTTCTCTGCATTCTGCATTTGTTCACCTAAGGGGGAGAGGAGGGGAGGGGAAGGGGAGGGGAAGGATTTTCTAACTGCTCTGATAAAGATTGTATCATAAAGATCACTACATGGAACTGTAAGAAATGAAGGAAAAGTTTTTGTAGGAGCCGGAATTAAGCGGAATTACGCCAGGCTCTCAAAATCTATAGAAACTCCAGGGTCATTTCTGACTATATTTGTCTATCTCATCATAAAAACTAGAGCTAGATAAACTGCTGTGGGAAATCATGAGTACGACACTCTATGCTTGACGTATACGGGTGCTTACAACTTGAAAAAAAAACAAAAAAGTCTATAAATAGTTCTATATCAGAAGTCATACAGATGGAGTTCGAAGAAATATCGAAAAAATTATTGGGCGATTACTAGTAATGGCCATAATTTCGCACAGTGAATCAAGATGATGAATAAACCAATCAATTTGTTTATCATTTTATTATTTTTATACCACCGGAAAGGTAATGATGGTAAAAAGTATTAACTATCTGCTTCCTCTTGAGCATCTATAGATCCACCCTTTCNTCAAGATGATGAATAAACCAATCAATTTGTTTATCATTTTATTATTTTTATACCACCGGAAAGGTAATGATGGTAAAAAATATTATCTATCTGCTTCCTCTTGAGCATCTATAGATCCACCCTTTTAGAAGGCTTTTTCTACCGCTGCTGATGATTTCAAGCGAGAAAGGGAAATTGCGACTAAGGGGAGCTAGTGGTCACTGTAAAACGACGATACACTTTTTTNCAATCTTCTAGATATAGGCCTACAAGGAAACAATCCTCAAAAAGCATCACGATGTTAACCTCAGCCTACGACTTACTTTTTTTTTCTTGAAAACCATCAAGAGTAGAGCCTGGTACAATAATCAACTTGAAAATATCCTTTGCTCGGGTCAACACTTAGCAGAAAATTCGAAAGGATATTAGAGAGGAAGATGAGTCGTTTTGAGGTCAATCCGGAGTTCTAAACTCTGTCAACGAACGAAGACCGGCGCGCCGTTGTGTCGGATGTGATGATTGCTGGTCCAAGACAGTTACTTCAGACTCTTCACAGAAGCTCTGAGCAGAAGGAATGCTATGCCTCGTGTACCTGAAGCGAGGACCATCCACTGTACCACTATGGCTCGCAACAAGGACGAACGGAGACATTCTTGGTGCCCACTAAGTCAAACCGGTGACCAACGGCAGGTGACACAGGTAATTTATCATATATCAACTGGTCCCGACGGGCTCTCACTTACTAAGAAGCCCCGATATCATGTTGGAACTAAGGGCTTCGCCTAAGTGCGGGGCGAAATAAACTAAACAAACTGTCAGTTTGTGAGCTATACTTAACATTACTAACTTTCATATCAGGTAAATAGTAAAGGATTTTAACAACTCACCCTGGCATTACCCCTTACTAACGCCTCCCCTCCCCCCTCCAACCAACGCACACAATTCTGCCCTTTGGGCTCTTATCTTATGGAAGGTAACCGACAAGAGCAACTAAATATAACTAACCTTCCAACCGAGGCTTTAGCAGGGCGTTCGAGTACAGAGTGAGTGTGGAGATGGGGGGAAAAAGTGAGAGCGTGAATTCTAGGAGAAAGGGCGGAACCAATGGCATGCGCCGGCGGAGGAGTGCGTAGTTCTTGCGCCGTCTACTGCACGCCTCCGTCCTCTGTCTGCATGTGTTATCGATGGTAACAAATCTTTCGCCGTGAAAGAAATGTCCGAAGCCTGTGGAAAACCCAAGGAACACATGTTTCTGCAACACTGCTTGTGCTTATTCATTTCACAATACGACAGCAATGAGCCCTGAGTTATTAAAATCATCTGTGATGCGCCATGTACTCAAACTCCAGTTGAAGTTGAGAAAGCACGGAAATCTGTTCGGGACACGGCTATGGTTGAGAGCGCTTCAACAGATTTTTCGATTGCTGACAAGCCTTTTAACTAAGTCGGTTAGATAAGGGAAAACTTCAAGAGCCTTTTATTCAGAAACCACCTACTTTGCAATATGAGGCAACCGTCAGAGACCGCTTTCTACAGTAGAATATTTCCGATTTCAAATGGATCATTTTTGCTGGAACTGCTGAATTCTAAACACTTAGCCGAAGCCATGACGTATAGGCGTAGCAATTTTATGGCAGCACTAAAACAGTCCTTCAAAATGGCTTTGAGGCAGTTCAGAAAAAAGATTCCCACCAGCTTCGACCTAGAAAAGTGGCAATTCAGAAGCAATTGCAGAAAAGCTAAAGCTAGAGTACTTTATAAATGCTCCGATGACCTAGAGGGGGTCTGCATTTCGCATTAGGACCATGGGTTTGTGACAGCCCTGCCAGATTGCTCCCTCCCATGGACTTGATTGGAAGCAGCCTTTACCGACAAGCTTTGGCGATTGATAGGGACCAGTAAGTTTGAAAATTCACTGTGTTCAAGCCCTGAATCGAAATCAAATCTGTGACGCTTTCTCAATCCATCAAATAGTCCGGAACCGTAAAAAGTGGCCGAACGGAAGCGGCTAGGCGGAACAGGCTGGTGCAGAATATCAACTATTATAAGAGGTGAGTGGCAAAACCTCGACAGCAGCCACCATTCCATGATGTCAATGGTTTTCTCAGCAGCATGCAACACGGAATCGCCCCGGTTAAACGAAGGGTACACGAAAATACGTCATCTTTCCAATTGCGTCATACATTTCAATAAAGGGAAGCTGAGGAAGCCCCAGCATTTGCTATATAGCGAAACAAAGAAGCAAACGATCAATAGAAACAAAGAAGTGATAGTCCAAGTATGAATGGGCCGGCAGTGCTTGGCAATGTCAAACTGCGACGTTTTTCAGCTTCACAGATGCGTGCTGATTCATTGTTGAGAAATCGACGCCGAGTGTTCCGTAAGTTTACTTCGGCTTGAACCGAATCTCCTCTATGCAAACAATCTCATTACCTGCTCAACAACCGAAATGAATGCCCTTCATTGTTTGCTAGACTGTTGGACATTGGGCTATGGATTGCCCCGTGTTCCTTCTTCATATCCTATCGGGCATTCACCTTAAACGATCACGCAATTCAATGAATTGTTCTTCTATAGAACCCCCAACACCACCACACTTCTAAGAATTCAGAACAACCCATATCATTAAAAGTACCATTAAAATGGTAATACAAAAAATTCGAAGCTTGAGGTCCGCAGTGAACAACCCTTCCCAGTATAAGCCATGCGCTTTCATATAAACAGTGACTTGCCGGCTCTGTTCACGGGCACTACAGCCTTAAACAACAAGGATTAAGCAGAATCCACAATGCTGAAGGACACAAGCCTAGGTAAGCTGAATTAGGATTCGGCTGTTCAGGTTGAAGGAACAGATCAGGCGTGGGGGCTGGGTAGATGTGTTCGGTCGTCTTGCCCGATTCAATTTGTCACTTGTTAGGAAGCAAATAGTCCAGAAATTTATCCAAGATACAAATCAAGAGAATTATTATTGCAATCCCTGCCGTTATATACCATTAGTTCGCTCAATTCACTATTGTAAGGTGTACTGTAACAAATGATTCAAAGAGGCATTTTCAAAACAACCTGACGATTTCAAAAGCTATTAAAACAACCGTGGAGAACAGCTCGCGACCATGGAAGGAACGAGAAGAGGTTGAACGAGGAGTGTACAAATCAAAGTGGTCGCTGGGGTCAGGAGACATCCATCGAGTCAAATCCTTCAACGGTGAAATCTCCAAGGGAAAACTGTTTAAGCTTCGATCTGTATCAAATACACTGAATGTGACCTCCCCATAACGAATCCCAACTCACTTCTCTAATTTCCCTAATCTCTGCACATATTCCATCAACTCTTATAGAAACTCACCCATAAGAGGCACAGTGCCAAGCTTACCAAGATTTCAGAGAAATCCTGTCTCCAGGAAACAAGTTGCGATGTACGGAAAGTGGGAATACCTATAGCTCATCAGCCATCCATCCAATATTATTGGTAACCAGTAAATCCAGACAGATGCAGAGTAATTGCCTCTCAAGAGGGCATGAAACGAGTTTGAGTTCTTTTGTGTAATGATGAGACGAGGCACGTTTTGTGCGATTTGCCCCGACTAATTGAGCCAGGCGGCGAGGAATTTACTGTGACTTAGCGTGAATCATTACGGGAATTACGTGTCTTCACGTCATCGACAACGATGGAGCCCATTCCTCGTCGGCGATGGGAGTCGGTACTATGTAGTCAGCCTAACTAATGAGTAAAACTGTACTCATCCGTTACACTTTGATGGAAAAACGGGGAAAAGTCAATGACGCAAACCTCGAAACAAGAGTCGCCCTCAGTAAAAACCCACTGGAACTCTATTTCATTTTTCCGACACTGCCTCAAGCATTTCCAATAGCTTGCCCTATTCCACAAAAAGCAGTTTACACTATGGGCAATGAAAATCGCTTCTTTCTCGACCGTTCAGAGATATGGGCTATTACTGCAGTTCAAAGTTGAGCACTCGAGTTTCTTCCGTTCGTAACTACTTGGTAGGCCCCGCCTTTATCCTCGAGACACACCATCAACAGGGGAGAACGGAAACGTAAGCTAGTTTTCCTCATGAACCATGGGCAGAGTTTGTGATGGACGTGTCGAAGTGATACGCTTCAAGCCTTTAGGGCCGACTGATGTTTCCAGCCATACATGGCCCGCGGTAGGGAACAGAACAAGGTTGCTGGCTTCGGCTCAAGAATATGCCAATAACAGGATGACAAGAACTAAAGAGATCTACGTACGCAGAGGATTGAGTCTCAGCAAATGTCTGAGCAAATGCCTTCAGTAAAGCATAAATCAGAGATCAGGCATTCCGGAAAACTCGTCCACAGATCATGGCAACATGTATCTTTACGGAAATCAGAAATCACCGTCACGTGAGTAGCTATAGAGTCACTTTAAGATTGGGGCATTTCCTTCATTATGTGCAGTTCTCTGGTCAGATTGGCAAATTTGTCGGAAACACCTGTTACTTCTCGACGACAAATGTAAACCACTCGCAACCCGTATTTCATGGCAGTTGTTGTACCATAGAAAAGAACAACTAGAGAAACTTCCAGAACGATTAATATGCAAGGTTTCAGAGTAGAACGGTTCGTATGGGACTCATAATCAGACTTACTCTTTCAACCAAATTATCTACACCACATTAGATTTATATCAAGGGCACACTCTTTGTCCATCGATATTCCTAATCTAAAGAGAAGAAAGTAAACTGCTTGATTTAGGCAAATGCCCTTCTAATGCGCCATGCACTCCCTTTCCGCTAAGAAATAGGAAACGTTTGAATGCGTCCTCGGCTAGACAATTAAAAGTATAGGTAAGTTTAATCGAACCAAGTAAAAAACCGAAACCTCTGGGTCTTAGATATCCTTAATTGACGGAACTACGAAGAAAATCAGTTACAAAGCAAAAAATAAATAAATTTAAGAATAAATAATAAGACGAGACGTGAAAATAATGACCTGGTCAGTTGTGGAGGTATTCGACACCACGAACAACGAGAGAACAATGTGGCACGTTCAGCCACTCTATCATTCCCGATTTACAAATCAATATAAATATTTATTCAGAATTTTCATACTCTATCAATGGTCATCCATTAGATTGTTGCAGTTCCTCGGACGATGGCAGCATATTCGCCTTTGCCAATAATTTTACAATGTCAACGGGGCGATTGTCGGAGAAGTGCGTCAAAGCGATAAGTTCATCGTCGGTTTTCTCAATATGCTTGTCGAGGTACGTCCACAAAGCCAATGTTTGTAGGTAGTATGGATGATCAAGACCGAAGCACACCTCGAAGATGTTCATCGCTTCAAATGCGTAACTAATCGCCTGCAAAAAGGACCAGTTACGCTGATCACATTAAAAGAAAGTCGTTGAAATGGCTCAAAAGCAAGAGGCGCAGTTGTTTTCCTGCACTATGCCTGGATCAAGCCCAGCTCTGCCGTAACTATCAGACCATCTATACTCCACCTATTCATGTTACACTTCTCTTCATCAAAACGTTCAGCTTAAAATTGAATAGACGGCTTCTCACCTCTTCCCGTTCACCCTTTTCGATAAGGTCCTTAACTATGTGCAGTATTTGGTATCCCAGATGACGATCAGCTTTGGGGAAGCATCTGAAAATTAGAAATCGTGAACAGCACTAATAACGTTATGAGGATATTGGCCAAAAGCCGAAATGGTACCGTACCATGTAAAATGATTTCTTTTTACAGAGATCCTCCTAAGTTTGACCGTGTCCTGGCTAAATTTCGTTAGGAAAAGGATTGGAGCACCAGCCCAACCTAAAGGAAAGGCCTCGGCAAAAGGCCGCTTCAGAAAAGAAGAGAATTGGAGCCAATCCCGAATCAGACCATCGGAATGAAGAGCTTTTATCGCTTCATCTACCTCTCTTTCTGGTTTTTGTTGGAAGTTTCTCGGTGATTACGAGAAAGGGAGTCACAACACGACTTGTTATATTAGTTTTCGGGATTAAATTACTAAATACTCACAATTTGTAATTGTCATAGATCTGCTTGTGCATCATGCCCATGTTCTGTTCTAATGATCCTGTCACATGGAATAAAGCGGTCCGTAGCCTTGTGATATAGACATTGTGGGGATGAAGAATTTTTTCAGCCTTCGCCAGAAGTTCTTTTAGCTAAAATAAATCAATCAATAAAAAGCATTCATTAATTGAGGATTTCGATTGCCCTATCGATTGCGTCACCAGTATACATATGAGCAAAGCGGCAAGATATACAAGTAATACAACAACGTAAGCGTTGATGTATTGATGCCAGTTGAGCACTGATGTAAAAGCTGATATTGCTATCAGTTTGCCTTATTTACAGCGTTCAATATGTTTGATATGGGGCGACGATTGTGGCTTTTATACTTTGTCTCCAACTATCTCCCGCGATCGCCTTGTGTCGCGAGAAAACTCTTGCGATAGTCTACGCGTATCATGGGTTAGCGTCAGATTTTCTCTCGTGCTCACAACTTTCTTGTTTACCCGCATTATTCCAAATCGTTTTGCTTCATATGATGTTTCCCATCACCATGGTAAATTATTGCAGTGCAGCTTGTTGCTAATCGACTAAAGGCCCGAAGATCAGAGAAGCGACCAAGTGGGGACACGAAAGAAATGGAGAAAAAGATCAGGAAGAAATTCCTATGTGATAGAAGAGCAGCGAGCTCCTGGCGGAGTTGACGCTACATACAAGAAGTTTTTTGTTGTTCATGATAGCCTACCCTCCCGTTCATGCTCACTTAGGATTGACTGATTTCAAAAAGTTTTGAATCTTAAGTATTGACTACTCTCACCCAAAGGGAGCATTGGAAATCCCAAGTTCAATCACTGCTTTAACTAACTCTTACAGTACAAAAATATAACCCAGTCCATTGAAGAGACCTAGAGTTGGAGTTATGACGAGAAGAGCGAAGCTTTTCCATACGGAGCAACGCGCTGTACGCACGGACTACGCCTGAATAATGAGCCGGCGAGTTAGCTAGCCAAAACACGGTGCGAGGAGAGATAACTAGGTAAGAATCGTCGCATTGTAAACAAATTGAGCTTAACACCATATATCGCGTGAAGCCGAACCTATTCAATCCAGGTTTTCATGCAAACAGTGTGGAGATGAAGCCTCCGCGGATTTTTTCGTGTGACACGTTAAAATCACGAGGGTTTCCAATAAACTATTTAGAAAAAAAACTTCAACTCACCGTCTCTGCTGGGCAGGTCGGAGAAAAAGAGGCCGGTAAGCTTTTCATTAACTCTTGAGCTTCTATTACTCGGGTATCGTCGGTCATTCCACGGCATTTCGGACAGGCAATGTAACAAGGCTCTGCCGTTTCAGAGGTGATCTGAAAATCTGTAGGTTCTGGGTTGTAGGTTTTCATTGCATTCGCGCCCCCGAGTTTAGCCCAACCACGCCTTCAATTCGGGATCAGCGAATGAGGGCCAGTATCAATCCGATAATGTAGAAGCACTAGCTTACTACATAAAACTACTGCAACATTGGAAGCCTAGGATTCAGCAGAAAGTCTATTTTGGGCCTCCTTGAGATGTTNAAATCTGTAGGTTCTGGGTTGTAGGTTTTCATTGCATTTAAGCTCCTGAGTTCAATTCAACCATGCCTTCAACTTTCGGATCAGTGAATGAGGGCCAGTATCAATCCGACAATGTAGAAGCACTAGATTACTACTTAGAACTACTGCAACATTGGAAGCCTAGGATTCAGCAGAAAGTCTATTTTGGGCCTCCTTGAGATGTTTTATTTTGTTAACTTATACTGAGCCATCTAGAATGTGTAGAAGGGTGAGAGCAACTTCATTCTCTTCAGCTGAGCTCTAGAAAGGATAAAAAGGATCAATCAGAAACTCGATCCCCAGAATTTGTGCGCGATAGTGCGACCCATGACACTATACCACCTCTGCCTTAGAATGGGAGGAACCTATACCAAATTCTCTGAGAATTCTTCTCTGTAGAAGACAAATGAGCCGAAAAATCGAGCAATGGAACTTCATAAATAGCTCACTGAAAAACGTCGAAAGCACAAGAACATTGGCACAAAAATGTCCTATTTACGCTCATATCCGAATATGAACTATGCTGAATCTTCAGTTGAACCTCATGAAGGATCCTTAAAATTTTAATTCTCCCTTATTTCCTCCAATGTTTCTGCTTAATTCTTTGCATCCCCCCCCCCTCTCCCCGAATTTCTACGATTCCCTTTCCTCGACTTTCTCACCAATGGCTCTGGACATCCTGGTGTCGAGCATTTGATTGCAGTCAGCATGTCGTCGGCCGGATCAACACAGCGGGAGCACTCACAGTCGAAGTACCACCGGGCCTGAAAGCAGATGTCCACTCTCAGCGGCTGTGAAGGAATTTTTGAACTCATAATGTCCTCATCATTTACATAGGAACGTTCGTTCATGGATAGCTGTAGAGGTTTGAAGAACTTTAGGCCTATCAAAGGATCAAAGAGATTTAGGCACATTTCTCAACACGGTTAAAGAGGATTAGGAAAACATATAAGCACATGTGGCGAGACCTCTTGGAATTTACGAAAGATTCTAAGCAAAAGGAACTGACTTAGATGATACAGAATTGCATTGAATTTGATGAGGAATGGTCAAAAAATAAGGACCAGAATACATTAGAATTTGATAAACCGGAAAAAAATTGTTGATTTATGCTAATCGATAGACCATACCCCTTTTATCATCAGTTAGATTGTATTGAAAAAGATTTCTTACTTATTCGATATTTTTCAAATTTCAGTCACCCAAAAAAATCGAAGTATGCAGACCGTTCCCAATCGATGAAGAAACTTCTGATCGAAGTAATGCCTTCAGGAAAGAGAACTAGTGTAGAAAATGATGAGTAATGGATTTTTGGAGAAAAAAATCATTATAATCGAGCAGTAACTTGGAAGAAGCGTGTTTTAAGCCGTGAACATAAAATGCACTCAACCCTATCCTTTTAGAATCTTAAAAATTACTGGAATACCTTCAGATCTTTCCGTCGAACATATTTGCTTCTACCAACGTCTATATAAGAAATGAATGCTTGTGACACATCAGATGCATCTACGCCAGGAACTAATGGACGGAGACAAACTCTGAAAAGTAGATACTTGTTACAGTGACTCTCACGGAACCTAGTGCTACCTCAACAGTAAAGAGTTCACCTGTACCCGTCGAATACCATCGTACAAGTTGGTCGACATGAGTGATTATATTTTGAGATACCTTAACATCAAACCCTATCTTACATTATCTCAAAAATACTTCCTGTTAGCTCATATCCATGATTACTAGAAGTAAAGCAATCGTGACAACTCGTCCTTCAATAATAACAGAACATGAAACCGAAGTTTTTTCTAAAAAAAAATCACCGAGATCAAGTGCCATGCCAACTTCTGTGCCAGCATTTGTGTGGATGCTATGCGAGTTGATTGACGTCTTACAGAATACGTCGAAAAGCGCCTCCTAAAAACTACCATGATCGCTCTGATTAAAAACCTCTATGAAAAGTTGATTTTCTGCTTGAATCCCAGCCTTGCTCAGGACAGGAAACCTCACTGTTCAGGAAAAATCCCCCTGTTAGCCGATAAATCGAAAAGAGGGCGATGACAGAAGGGAAAAAGAAAGGTCAAAATAGGCGAAATTGAATTAAAAGGTTTGGCAAATGGCTCTTCCTAAGGAGAAAACCCTTCAGATCAGTCGAAAGGTGAACGTAATCTGTATGAAGTGTATTGATAGGAGGGCTATGTTTGCTGAAAAAATAGCAAGTCAAGTAAGTGCAAATTATTGGAGGGCATATACGACTTCAAGGCGCGGTGGGAAATGGGCTATTCCAAATAGAAAATCAGCAAAAAAAAAAGAAAACATCAGAAAACGTCTGAGGAATTTTTAGTAAGAGTAAGCTTTGCAGAAACATGGGTCCCAAGATTATGATCCGAAGTTTGAAACGGAGGGAGAAAAACAGCTTACCTTCTCGATCATTTCGTCTTTGCGAAAAATCTCCATTTTCTTGTACAGCTTTTCAAAATGCTCCATTTTCACGGGATCTTCTCTGAAACATAGTGGAATGAGTGAAATAGCAAAAATGTTGCAAGAAGCTGCAGAAAAAGAAATTGCAAAGTACATGAATGAACAACCGCATCGAAAATTAAAAATGAACTCAAACGTAGGAGGAAGTTTTTCCCAGAAAAGCTTTATGCTTATGTAATCTTAGTAATGGTCTCTTTGCTCTGCATCCCACTACCCGTTCAGGACTACAATTCCTTTCTCGAAACCCAAGATCATACGAAAAGAATTGAGGTCTATAATGAGAAGTTTGACGAGCTGCCTAATGAAATGACCGTAGCATCGGTGGTTCAGTGGTAGAATGCTCGCCTGCCACGCGGGCGGCCCGGGTTCGATTCCCGGCCGATGCAGTTGTTTTGAGTAAGTCACAAAATTGAACAAGCAGTAATATTGTTCCCACCATAAAGTTATCTTCTTATTGTAACTAGGCAAAAAAAATATTCAACAACAAAATCCTATTTCATGTCCCTGAATAGAAAGAAAGTCGGGCTTTTAAGCAGACAATTAATTCTTCATCTTAACAGTTACTAATGAATGCGATGTAAAGAATGGAGTGTGAATAACTCAAAAGTCTTTTTATATGCAATGCACCTTTCACCGAATCCAATTTCGCGAAAGCGAATGACTATTTTTATTAGTCTACAACCATTCCCAAAGTCTACAGATATGCCTTTCCCGTTTTGAACAATCTTTGAAGGCCCACAAGGTTCAGAGATGGTTTTTGATGGCTACGAATTATGAGGCAAATTTTTCCTTTAGGCTATAACCATCACCAAGTACCTTTCTCTATATACGACGACTGCGTAGACTGAGTGTCTTAAGCGGACTGACACATTAGCCTAGTTCCTACCATTTATATCTTTATAAAAAGATAGGAGATAGAACCAGAACCTTAAAAAATACTATTATGTTTCTGTTTTTATTGAATTTAACAGATGTTATCATTCAAAACAAGGCCTGAAACGTCATTGAATAATGTTTGTAGGCACGTAAGTTTGCCGGACCGAATCACTGATTGAGCTAAGTATCATCGGGGATTTGTGGATTTATAATTATTCGTTATTATTCAGTATCAAGCTAATTGGGGTAAATGGAGAAAGAGTCTCCCAAATGATGCCATATCACAAGCACGGGTCAGTAACGAAACCAAAATCTAATATTCGCCAGTTTTGCACTCCTTTAAGTCAGCTTACCGATTGCCATACTAGTCAGGAAAGTCAGGGAAAGGAGCTGTGTATCGGCCGTTCCCCAAAATTAATTTCAAGGCGAAACACTCACTCAAAGGTATCCTAACAGAAGTGAAAGCCTGAGGGTATCTCCAAATAGGGCTGCCCGGTGATTAGTATATTACTTTTGTAGCTTCGGTTCAATACCCTTCCGAAGAGAAGATTGACTTGTCCAGCTGGTTGCCCCGAGAATCAAAGGAAGAGAAAGAATACTTGAATTTCGTTGAAGTAATCTCGAAAAACCCATTTAATTATCAACTAACCGAATATCATCCTTGTGGTCTACAAGCGACCAAAACTTTCGTTCACGCTCCCACCCATATTTATCTCCATTTTCAGCCAAGAAAATCAATCGATCGATAATTTTCGAGAGGAATAAGACTTCAGTGAGCGGGAGATTCGGGAATACCTGGAAAGATCGGGAGTTCAAGACGCTCACACTTGACAACTGAGATATAGATATCTGTAAAAACAACCTACCGCTTGCAGACGCCGACACTCCGGCCGGTGAACCTTCCAGGCAAGCCGCTGACAATCTTTACTGCAGTACCGAACGAAGTCACATCTATAGTGTTCCAGTGAAGTTATAGGCACTAATTTACAACTTGTTGTGGTTACTTACGCTGCGCATTTCAACAATTTCTCGCCCCTAACTGGAGCTCGCATACAGTACGAGCAGAAAAGTTCCGTTTTCGGATTGAGGACTTGGTAGGCAAATGGATGCTCGAATATCTGTCAAAGGAATAGAATTAAAGAAGGCAGCGTGGTTGGGAAAAAATAAAAAAAAAGGAAAAGAAAAGAGCAAAAATTGTGAAGTCACGAGCTATGACTCATTTGACAACCAAAAACTCCAAAAGAAGAATTTTCGAACAAAATTTCCAAGAGAAAAGAGTTATCAAAAATGAAAGGAATTCTCAAATGGCCATATTCTTCGCGATTCAGCATACGCTTTGAGCGATGATCCTCAGAACAATACTAGAATGAACTTACAACTATTCTCGCATGAATCGAAGATATGTCGTCTGATTTATGTCCATTTTGTTCTGAGGCCTGAGTCATTCGGACCTGAAATTCACAACTCCACAAAAATCAAAGAAAGGACTCATTTGAAATATATCCACATATGATTTTACAAAATGCTAGAAATCTGAGCTCAAAATCGTTGCAGAGCACAGCTATCGCGATTATCCAAGGGAGTGGTCACGAAGAAGCTAAACAGACCTGATCGGAATGTTTTGAGCTAGTGAGCAGAAGTGGATAAGCCTCAGCCTTTCGTGATTTTTCATATCCCTTCATACTTAATTTATCGATTCAAGACCGCGCATGAGATTTCGGTGATCAATTAAGCCTAGCTACCGAGGCGAAACTTCATTTTGGAAAGGTAATTAGGTTCGAAACCCAAAATCATCCACGTGCGCGCGGTGGCGATGCGTGTCTAGGAATAGTAACCATCGGTGATTTTTTATTTATTTACCATCCCGTACTGAACTACTAAATCATATATTCCTCTAATTAATACCAAAACCCAATAAAAACACCCACCCAATACCTAATACCTCATATTTGTATATTTGTGAACATAATATTTTCATTTGAAGGTCATCAGGTCAACATTACTTTTAAAACCCCCATAAGTTCCTAACAAATTGTGATGGAACAACTTAATTCTCGCCAGGTGCCAATTCATACTTCCTTTAATCCTTGAAAATGATCGAGCTAAACAAAAACCAGTATCGAAACTCTAGACCCACGAAATGCTGTTTTTGCTCGAAAAATGTACCAAAACAAAATCAAAGCGACCATGAAGTAGAGATATAAAGACCCTGGTTCGAGTCTCATCAGTGGCTATGCGTTTTACATACAACTCTGCAAGTCGTGATTGTGTGAATTGACACATCTGACAAAGTGGTAGAAAGGCGTTGGGGAAGGGGCAGAAGACAATTGCGATCAGCTGGAGCAACAGAGGTTTGCGATCACCTAGCTCGCGACGCAACCGCGCAGACTCGTGTTTGTGCTAGAAAAATTGAGAGATGGTGACTGGATAACGGGTCAAAGAAAAACCAGATTACGTGGTTTCAGTCTGCATTGAGTCTTCCTCAAGTAAATTTCCCTTGACTCGAAAAAAAATTGAGGAGAAATTTCGCTAATTATACCGAGTTAATTTACTCGGCTTCTCACAGGACAAAAGACCTCCTGATTCTTCTGGCCAATGTCAGTTACTGTACGATCGAACAATTGAATGAGTGCAGACAAAAGAGCCTCTCGAGCAAAGTTGAAAAACCTTCCAATATAAGAATTCTATCTACAATTGGAAACATTAATGGATAGAAAGGGCGAACTTCGACCAAGAAGAAACAGTTATTGACAGTACGAAAGCTAAGTGTGGCGACTCTGCAGCCAATATCCAGCTCTATCTGGCTCGAGCGGCTCAGAAGACGTGGAGTGGCGCAAACTAGTCGCCGGCTTTAAACAAATATTACACTGCGTTCTGCGGGTCTAGTGGATACTTCACTGACTAGACTGCA